TTGGTGTTTCTGTGCGAATGAAAACGGTTCTTAAAACGATCGTCTTATCAAGGACATTTTCAGAAACAACAAATAAAAATATTGTGTTTTTTTGGGGACCGGGGGGGGCTGTGTTTCTGTGTGGGCAAAGTTTAAAACATATATTTGAATCTTTTCAACAGGAACAACATGGAGGATCCGAGGAAGCATGCTTGGTTTAAGAACATCAACTTTCCTCGTCTAGAGGCAGGGCTTGTGGATCCTCCCTGGGTCCCCAAACCCAATGTGGTCTACGCCAAGGACACTGGTGACATTGCAGAGTTCTCAGATGTCAAGGGCATCACGTTTGATGAAAAGGACAATAAATTCTTTAAGGAGTTCAACACTGGAGCTGTGCCAATCCAATGGCAGCAAGAGATGATTGATACAGGACTGTTTGATGAGCTCAATGACCCCAACAGGAAAGAAGGGGGTATGGATGACGATAAGAAGTCTGGCACGTGTATAATGCTGTGATCTGGCACAAGTTCACCATGTAATACCTAATCAAACTCAATTATTTGTTTTCTTTGTCTCAAGCGCAATAACATTTATGTACAAAATAAAGTTCATGTTTCAGGAGATGCGAGCACAAGCGACGTTTTTGGAACAGACGTACCATCTCTCCTTTGTAAGGATGCTCACGGTTTAGAGATCAGCTGCTCGTGAGGTGAGGTTCTGTAAAATATAAAAAGTCTGATTATGTATTTTACACATTGTTCCTGGTTCACAGCTTTTCTCAAGACATGTGTATTTAATTTTGTAGCTACCTTTACCATGAATGCTAGCAGTAAGCTTTTCATTGATGATTCTAGAGTTAGAGACGGATGCTGTGTGCCAGAAATACAGCTTAATAGAATGACAAAGCTGTCAGAAACAACTAATCAGGGTTTGCTTGATTATTGTTTAGTCGTTGTTGTTAAATTTAGAATTGTTCAAACACGGAAAAAACGTGCATTTGAAAACTGGATTTATTTTCTAGACTTCAAAATCTGTTGTGCTCATAAAATTAGGAATTTTCTTGCATTTTATGTAATTAATTGATACCACCACAAAGCCACGCTGTTTCTTTGTTGAAAAGTGCTTTTAAATGACACTTGGCACATAATGTGACCCTAAACCTTGGGATTATGAATGATCACATTTACAACAGTGGGTGGTCTTTTTGCCTGACCCCGTTACCTTTACTGACACATGAAAGCAATTGTTTGTACTGTTCACAAAGAAATGTCTATCTATGCAGAAAAATAAATTGTGCTAGTCTTTTAAAATTTTGTAAGACGAAACAAAACATTTACAATAACCCTTCCCCTCCGAGTTTCCCCTTTGTTGATTGCTTTGAGGCTCAAAACAGAGGCAAATGACCTAAAGGGATATTTTGATCATTTTAATGTGGGGTTTTGTTGGACAGTTAAGAACAATTACTAAAGAGTCATTTCTTGAACAACCTAAATTTAGTTCAATAAAAAATAAATTTCATTCACAGGACCACAAGCTAAGAGCTAGTCTAAACCATCCATTGTCTTTTACCCGCTTTTTCCTTTTACGAGTCGCAGAAGCTCACTGGTGCCCATGTCCAGCAGTCACTGTGCAAGAGGCAGGGGATGCCCTGGACAGGTCTCCAGTCCATCACAGGGACACATAGAGACAACCAAGACAAAAAACAATTCACTCTCTCACGCGGAGAAAATCCATGCATGCACAGAGAGAACATGCAAACCCCACCCAGAAAGATCCTGGGCTGGGATTTGAACTGGTGACCTTCTCACTGAGAAGCAACAGCTCTACCAACTGAGCCACCGTGCCGCTATAGTCAACCACAAAAGAAATCTAGACATCTGATGGGAACCCCTCCGAAATTAATCAGAACCGGACCAGCTTCTCTACCTGACTCCAGAGCCAGGTTTAAGCCCCACCCCCTCCTCATAATCAAATGGGGCACTGGTAAAATAATAAAACTCACTTCAGATAATTTTTCCTAGGGGTTGACTCGTTGATTACTGCAGTTCTTGCCTTGTTGTATGTTCAAATATTCATTTATCTAATATGCTTAGCTGTAATTAGTTTTTTCATGACTGTGTGCTGTGGACGTAATGCCCTAGACTATGGTTTCAAAAGTTGATCATGGCAGCACCTGTAAAATTGAATCTCATGGCTTCAGTTTTCATCAAGAGACGAAGACATGACATTACGTCTGGATTTCTTTTCTGTTTGATAGTCTGAATGCAGCCAGAATCAAACTAGACTACTATTTAAAAACAGCCTTGATCTCAAAACTTCATGAAAATGTTATTTTATGAACCTCCATCCATCCATCCATTTTCTTCCGCTTATCTGGAGGCGGGTCACGGGGGTAGCAGTTTAAGTAGGGAGGCCCAGACTTCCCTCTCCCCAGCCACTTGGGCCAGCTCCTCCGGGGGAATCCCGAAGCGTTCCCAGGCCAGCCGAGAAACATAGTCCCTCCAGCGTGTCCTGGGTCTTCCTCTGGGCCTCCTCCCAGTGGGACGTGTCCGGAACACCTCACCAAGGAGGCGTCCAGGAGGCATCCTAACCAGATGCCCGAGCCACCTCAACTGGCTCCTCTCGACGTGGAGAAGCAGCAGCTCATTCTTCATGGCCTCTCCGAACTCCTCCCATGCCCGAGTTTGTGCCTCAGCGACCACCCGAGCCGCATGTCACTTGGACTGCCGGTACCCATCAGCTGCTTCCGGGGTTCCACAGGCCAAAAAGGCCCGATAGGACTCCTTCAGCCTGACAGCATCCCTCACCACCGGTGTCCACCACTGGGTTCGAGGGTTGCTGCCGTGACAGGCACTGGCAACCTTGCGGCTGTAGCTCCGGTAAGCTGCCTCGACAATAGAGGCACGGAACATGGCCCACTCGGACTCAATGTCCCCTACTTCCCCCTGAACATGTTTGAAGTTCTCCTGGAGGTGGGAGTTAAAGCTCTGTCTCACAGGAGACTCTGCCAAACGTTTCCAGCAAACCCTCACAATTTCTTTTGGGCTTGCCAGGTCTGACCGGCATCCTCCCCCACCATCGAAGACAACTCACCACCAGGTAGTGGTCAGTGGACAGCTCCGCCCCTCTCTTCACCCGAGTGTCCAAGACATGCGGCCGCAGATCAGATGAGACGACAACAAAGTCGATCATTGAACTGCAGCCTAGGGTGTCCTGGTGTCAAGAGCACAAATGGACAGCCTTATGCTTGAACATGATGTTTGTTGTGGACAATCCATGACGAGCACAGAAGTCCAACAACAGAACACCACTCGGGTTCAGATCGGAGGGGCCATTCCTCGCAACCACACCCCTCCAGGTCTCACTGTCATTGCCCACGTGAGCATTGAAGTCCCCCAGCAGAACAAGGGAGTCCCCAGGAGGTGCACTCTCCAGTACCCCCTCCAAGGACTCCAAAAAGGGTGGAAAATCTGAACTGCCGTTTGGTGAACCTTTCATGAACCTTTGCATCTTTATTTCAATACACAGCCCTTTAGGTAAAATTTGTAGTAATTTGCAAGAGTGAACAGCAGCAACAGCAACTAGCTATAGCACTTTTGGTGCAGCCTGGAGCACTTCTGGCAGGAACTTCATGAACTGCTATGACATTTTTCACATTTAAGTTGTTTGAATATTGGAACTGGGGATTTGAAGTTGATCCAGTCTGACTGTTTTGACAAGCTAATAACAGCTTGATCAAGTGGACCTACGTCCAAAGTAGCTTTGGCTGTCTTTAAAACTGCACCAAACTTTAAAATCTCATGCAAAAGATTTTCTTTAATCCTTAATATCACTGTTTGTTTTTCCATCCATGGACTGTTCAGCAGAAATATTAATAATAATATTAATATTGTACTTATTGGAAGTGACTGCACGCTGTTAG